ATAGTCTCATTCTTCCCACCTATCACTGTGATGTTCTGGAGACAATGCCATACTTCTGTGGCTCCCACAGTACTTAGCCTTGGGTTAGGCATAAAATGGGTGCTATATATAGAAATCCTGAGGGCAAAGATAAGTAATCAGTATAACTGAGGGATTGAATAAAAATAATGGCTAACACTCAAATATATGCTAGGCACTGATATAAGAGCTTTACATGCATTAACTCATCTAAATCTCACAATAATCCTACAAGATGGTGACTATGATAATCCCCACTTTCCAGATGAGGAAACTGAGTCACAAAGCTAATAAATGGCAGACCTGGATTCAAACCCAGGTAGTCTGAATCCAGAATTTCTACTCTTAACCACTTTGTTGTATTACCACCAATGAGATGGGGAGAGGGACGTGTTGCTGCAACGAGGATGGAGCAAAACTGGGAGAAGAGAAGATGTTAAGAAACTAAATAATGGAATCAAAAATAGAGAAGGAAAAAGAATAAGGGCAATTATAAGTGAAAGACTGGAAAAGGAATGATAGTAAGAAGGCAAATGAAGATAAGAAATCGCTTATAAGAGAAACAAAAGGTAAAAACAGTCAGTTAACATGAGCTGGGGAGATCAGGAAGACCCCAAAGGCTGCCAGGTCAGGCAGGATGCAGAGAACAAACGAGGAAAAGCAGTTCTTACAGGACAGTGAAGGTGCTGTTGTAGCTGTCGGGCTCTGGCACAGGCACTCTGCGGAGCCTCTCCTTTGGGCTGAGACCAACGCAGGACAAGGTCTCGTCACTGCAGGTGCAGAGCTGACAGATGTTCACTCTTGTGGGAGCGCTCTGCTCCGGTTGCTCCTTTTCTGAGGTGTATGTTAACAGACTGTACCACTGAAATTTCAGTTGAAGCAGGTGTCTTCAGTGACCCTGGGTGCCGAGTTGTGGTAAATTCCTGGTCTATACGTGGAACTGTGACTCGAGTCAGGTCTGGGTGTGCAAATGCCACCCTCAGGAGAAGGAGCTGTAGTCTTCCGGAGGACTGTAGAATGTTGAGCCTCCATAGCAGGTTCTGAAGTCACGGTTAGCTCCAGGTCTACATGATGAGGTGTGACACTGGATGGTGTTGTCTGCTGACCATGACCCTTACTTGGAGTTGGAATGGTCACCTCCTGATGGGGTGGATATTGAACGACAACCTCCTTTGGTGGTTCTGGGGGCTGAGTTGGGGTCTCTTGCTTGGTCGGAGAAGGTTCAACATCCACACTGGATGCTCCAGTTACAGTAACTTCCAGGTCCACAGTGTGAACTGTGACTGGAGTGATGCTTGAAGGGGCAAGTGTCACCTCAGGGTGTTCTGGAGGGGGAGATGTGGAATGTTCAGCTTCTGTAGTAGGTTCTGAAGTCACAGTAAGCTCCAGATTCAAAGGTTTATCTGTGACACTACAGATGACATTAGATGCTCAGGGTAATCCTGGTCTGGTGTGGGAACTGTCACTTCCTGATACAATGAAGGCTGATGGGGCTCTAAAGGCCAAGTTGGGGTCCCCTGCATGGTTGGAGAAGGTCGAGCCTCTGTATTAGGTTCTGGGCTTAGTGTAAGTTCCAGATCCAGAGGATGAACTGTGAACTCAGTCATGGCTGGATGCTGAGCCAGCACCTGCTCTGCCTGTGGAGGTGTCACCTCCGTGTATGTTGGATGAGATGTCTGCTGCAGGGATGCAGAGTGTCCAGCCGCTGTAAGAGGCCCTGGAGTCACGGTAAGCCCCAGGTCCAAAGGTTTATCAGTGACACTGGGGGAGCTGGAATGCTGAGCTTGATTCTGTCCTGGTGTTCCAACTGTCATCTCAACCTCCTTAGGTGTCTCTGGAGGCTGAGCCGGGGCCTCCTCCTGAACTGAAGAAAGCCCCACCCCCTCAGGGGGACCTGCAGTCTGAGCTGTGGCCTCTTGTTGGCCTGGAAAAGAGTCAATCTTCCCAGGGGGCTCTGGAGATGGAGACAGAGGCTTGGACTGGACTGGAGAAAATTCACCCTGCTCGGGGGAAATGGGAAAATGAGCAGAGCCCTCCTGTTGCTCTGGAGAACTTTCAGCCTCCTTAGCAGGCTCTGGAGTGATGACAACTGCCAGATCCAGGGGTTTACCTGTGGTACCAGGCATCACTGGACGCTGAGCTTCACCTGGACCTGCAGATGAGAACGTCACCTCGTTATGGATTGGAGGTTGAGCTGTGGCAGCTGTAGAGGTCTCTGGAGGCTGAGTTGGGGGCTCAAGCTGGACTGGAGAAGGTTCACCATTTCCCCAGGGGGCTGGAGGCTGATCCGGAGCCTCCTGTTGGGCCAATAATGGTTCCAACTGCTCAGGGGACCCTGCAGACTGAGCTGAGGCCTCTTGTTGGGGCGGAGAAGGTTCAGCTTCACTTGTGGGCCCTGGAGTTATGGTGAGTGCAAGGTCCACAGGTTTCACAGTGACACTGGGCCGCTGCAGAGACTGAGCTTGATCCTGGCCTGGAGGAGAAGCTGCTGTCACATCAGGCTCTTGAGAATGAGCTGAAGAGGGCTCAGCCTCAGCAGGAGACTCTGGACGCTGACCTGTGCTTTCCTGCTGGGTTGTGGAAGGCTCTATCTCTGCTGGAGACTGAGCTGGGCTCTCCTGCTGGGTGGCTGGTTTCACCACCTCAGGATGCTCTGTGGGCTGAGCTGGGCTCTCCTGCTGGGTTGAAAAGGGTACAACTTCCCCATTAGGCTCATAAGGCTGAGCCGGTTGTCCCTCTCCACCTGGAGAAGGCTCAGCTTCCTCAGGAGGCTCTGGAGGCGGACCTGTGGCATCCTGCAGGGTTAGAGAAGGTTCTGCCTCCACAGAATACTCAAGAGGCTGAGGCAGGGCCTCCTGCTGGGCTGTGGTAAAGTCGCCTTCCTTAGCAGGCTCTGGAGTGACCGTAAGTTCCAAATCCACCGGTTTAAGTGTAACACTGGATGGGTCGGAGTGAGCTGGATACTTACTTTCAGGTCGAGCTGCTGCCTCCTCACTCGCTGGAAACTGAGGTGCATTTTCACCAAGGAACCCTGGAACTTGCGCTGGGGCCTCTTGCTGGAGTGGGGCAGAGTCATACTCAGGGCTCTCTGCAGGCTGAGCCTGGGCCTCCTGAGGGAATGGAGGAGGTTCCGCCTCCTCAGGATGCTCTGCAGGCTGAGCCTGGGCCTCCTGCTGAAGTGAAGGTTCCACCTCCTCGGGGCTCTCTGGAGGCTGAGATGCAGCTTCCTCCTGGACTAGAGAA